AAGTGCAATTTAAAAAGTTTTTAGCATAGCAGATTGTGCACGCAATTGTTTAATTCTATCCTATCTCAATTGTTAGCTTAATTTCCCTATTAATAATAGTCACTAGCGCTCGTTGGCGGTAGCCAAACTGTGAAGCATCCTTTTAATGCCATAAATCACTTACTCATGTATCATTAATCAAGAGTTGTATTCATGACTAAAAAAAGGCTGTATTTACATGACATGTAAGGTTGCCACCGTTTTATACTTAAACTATGAGCTCAACCTTTACCTATGATCATACATCACGAAACAAATTAGACAATATCTTGCCTGAGCCGTTTCTAAAATCATGCTTGATCCCATATAAGCCCTCTTCAATTTGAAGTCGTTCTTCAGACCTTATATATCACTAACTATGGTATTATATAAACTACTGGCAGTTATTGACAGTCATTTTTAATGAGACTTCTCACAATTTCACTGCTTAAGGAGTTTGATTGCCTCTCACTAAGTTCGTCATCTTCACAACAGCTTAAGACAAATCCTTGACAGACCGCTTGTCTTCATGAACTAATTGCAATAATGTATACTCCGGAGATGGTTGTTTGCTAGCGTACTCACCTCACCTCTATCCATTTGTGGTTCCTCTGGTGACATATATTTTTAGAAAAATAAAGCGATCCTTTCATATATTGGGCCTTGCTTTGATCCCTCCAAGACGCCTTGACGCGTAATTTGAAAAGTTAAAACTGTTTTGTCACTTATTTGTATTTCATTTTTATGAGGCTACTTTCTCTTACTCATTAGTTCTACCATCTTTGCATAAGATTAATAGGTTATTTGATCTTGAATTCGCGAGGCAAAATGTGTAATTTCGCAAGTTTTGCATGACGCATTTATGATTGTCATAAAGCGATGTTTATGTCTTCTACTAAAATGTCGAGAACTATTGAGCTGGTAGCTGTACAGGGTGCTCAGCTTCTGAGACTTGAGCATAGAAAGTCTACTTATCCGTAAAGTTTGGGTAACCGCAATCAGCCAACTCTCTGTAGAGATTTGCAAGAGCACTTTTTCATAGTTTCCAGACATTTTATTGTTTCTGGAATGACAAAAAATAAAGTCTAGAGGAATACAGTATTAGCAATAATGTTAGTGGAACAAGCTACAGGTAAAATTCCCTTATGTATTTCGCTTTATTGTTACTAGCAGAAAACCTATTTTTATCTTTCTAAAAGATCGAGATAAAACGAGTAAAACAATTGGCAGTAGTGATGCTTTGTCTTAACTTATCTCAATTTCAAGGCTGAATCAAGAGGGATTATGGGTGCCCCGTGGTTCATATATCCCCATTAAATGAAGCCAAAGATTTATGTGCAGCGTCATTCCACGCACCCAGCCTGGGATGCCAGAGAGAATAAATATACTCATAAATTCATGGGTTCTAATAACACTTAAATTTGGTGAGAAAAAAAACTTTTTCTCCCTTCTGTACTATACTTTAGGGAGCGCAGCTTTACTGTGTAGCAAGATTTGATGGTACTCTGTAATTCATTCTCTTTGGGGAAACTATTGCAAATATACAGGTTTTAAGACCATAGATTACAGTTCATTACCGAACATGTCTGCTAAAGTGTGGGCAAAATAGGATTTTATAATAACGCATCAGAATCGAAAATCATAGCTTAAGTTAAAATCCTACCATTTGAAGGTGGAAAACATGAGCATTTTGGGAGCTATTAAGTGGATTTCCTTCCTCTATATGGAAAAGAGTCTTGACGATCCTAGAATCACATGAAGAAATTTTGCTTATTTTGTCCCTCTATATAACAAGTTTAGTCTCTCATCTGTCTCATTATCTCCGAAGCCCTAAGTTAGAATATTTGTGAGCAAATGTAGAAACATTTTCTAGTAAATTTCTAGATCAACTTACTAGTGGGTTACAAGTAAATTACAGCTACATATAAAGGGTAGATAATTCATCGCTTCTATGTATGCTAAAAGTTAACCGAGTGAATAATTTCAGTTACCCAAATAATATTAGTCGTTTGGTCTCAACATACTTCTAGCCTGGGCTACAAATAAAGGGTATGCAATGTCGGATAATAAACAATGCCTTAATTGAGCCTACTGCGATTAGTAGAAAAGTAAGCCCATGTTTTTCTACGAATTTCTCCATGATTTTTTCTTCAATGGCAGAAGATGCGATAGAATTCACGCAAGTCTCCTCTTGAGCGAAGAACAATGGACCTCTCCATATCTGCTCTTAAGGTAATATCAGAAATGATTAAGTAGTTTATGCCAAAATATTGTATAATTATAGAAATGTTTAACGATTTATTTTTATTTAATCAAGTGGATTAATTAGGTATAGTTACTTTTCATTTGAGCTGGCAATTTGTACTTTCTATCAAATAACACAGAAAAATATGTAGTATCTACTTAAGGCTCTTGGAAGAATGAGTCCCAGCTCTGAAGAGGTCCCATATATGACAGTCGTAAGCCTAGCCCAGGTGGAGTGCACCAACCTGAATGTTGTATTGAGTTAAAACGGCTGCATAACAACATCGAAAAATCAGCTGTTGGCCCTCTGTGATATCAGCAATGAACTTTCATACTAAATTAAAGTCTCCACAACGATGTTATCTTAGAAGAATTACCGAAATTCAGTTACTCTTGGTATATATTAATATTTTACCCGCCTTGAACATTCATCAGACGTTGATTTGACTGAAGAAGAGTGGCCTAATTTCAATTTTCGGATATAGGATCACTATGCCAATATCGAATTTTCTGTAAAGAAGAGTCATCTCCACATTTGTCTGTACAGTAAGTTGCTAATATCATTTCCTTATCTATAGATCTTAATCTAAAGACGAAGGCCAGCCCTCTTTGTTAATTATCTCTTGACAGTCATCTATCGGTTAATAATTCTCTTCTTGAATTGATCATATTCCCATCTAGTGGCATGCAAGTTTCTGTTATGGCAAGGTGATTTTAGAAAGTTGGTATCTCCGAGACTAAACTTTATTCTTCCAGTTACTGACTCCAAAGTAAGTATGTAGCTGTGGGTTGTCGTGTGTAATACAAATAGAAAAGTGTTTGCTTCACTTATATCAACCGGCACTTATTTTAGCAAACCTAGCACGAGTTTGAATTTGCATCGTTTATTTGTGTTGAATTGTTTCACTGGCTGATCGTAAAACTGTGCTAAAGGATATTATTCTCATTTATGCTTCAAACTCGATCTTCACCCATTCGTTTTAGACGCTGACGAAAATGTTGGAAGTGGAACGCCGGAGGGCTTGTCGAGCTGTCATATTGTCTCTCCAGCCGTATCCCGAGGCAACGGTGGCGGCTGTCTCACCGATCTCTCCTCTTCCTCTCCTGGAGGAGTGGCTTCAACGCGTCTTAACGTCGCTCCTGTGGGAAATGTGTCTGGTGGTACCGCCGTCGGTGGCAGCGGAAGCCTTACGGGTGGAGGACTCTCCGTTTTGTCGACGCGAAGAACGCGCCGCGGGCCCACTGGGGCAGGACGCCGGACCTCAGGCTCTTTCAGTCAGTCTGGTGCGATGATGATGATGACGGGAGTAATGGGTGGGCTCAATTTTCAGCTGCCGCAGTTGGACAGCATCCAGCGCTCACAGAAGATCCTAGACATGCGTCTACAGAATCTACAGGTATGCATTCCCTGAAGCCGAGGGTAGAAATTAGCGTTATATTTTAGCCAAATTCCGTAATAGTACTGTTAATTTGTTTTATATTAGCGGCAATCTCACCTATAAAAGGGCAAACCAATGTGCTGTCGGTATCGCGGTCTTTATAAGCTAGTTTTTAGGTGAATTTAATGGATTGCAATACCAGAATAGTGACTATAAAATAATTGTAATTAGGTGTAATATATAGCCGCGATTCCAGTTTAGATTATGTCATCTGGCAACCATTTATAGCCTACAAAGAAAATTATCTATTAATTTATAGCTTCGGTTAGATTTTGCCACATTTTTTCCCATATAGCAGCTTATTTTTGCCAGTTAGTAAAGCCACAGTGGAACTTAAAATCAGCTCACACTATTTAGTCACCGACTTGTACATGATATTTCCAGGTTAGCTCAGTCTGAAACTTATTATTTTACTAGGCATTGTTGTCATAACTCGAATTTTCTATACCGTATATGGGGAACACATGGATAGACGACTTGTCTTTCTGCTTTATCACAGTTTTACTCACGCTAAATTTGACCATTTGAGCCATAAATGTCATTTTAGCCAGTTTATGTAACCTATCCATAATACGAGGTATCCTGTTGTCAGCCAGATTACTGGATCGGTATACAAGCATGAAACTAGCGCCTTTTCATCGTCTACACCTTTCTTTTGACAAGAAATTAAATTTAGCCTTCTAGCTTATTTTATGATGCAGAAGTATTGAGGCAAGATACGTTAAAATATCAGTTGCCTTACACATAGGACCTAAGAAACCAGGTTTTGTGATCGATAAAGTCCAGGATACTAATAAAATCTAGGCTACAAATCGAGTTCTTTGGCCAGTTAATTAATTTATCAGAATAAATAAAATAGATCTGGGCTAGATCTAGTTTGATGTTAGGAAATTGCCATAATCTGCACAATGCTTATATGCAGTAGAAAGGCTCGCTTTGCTATCAGGGTCCTCGGAGTTTGAATCTGCCCTAATGAAGTTTTAGAAATGATCCGACATAATGCAAGTGCTCAAAGATCCTCGTAGAATTTTACCCAAATTTCATTTGGGTTTTGGCAGATTATTAGTAGTAGTAGTACTCTGAGTATTACTTGGAATAATATACCAAAGGCGTAGGAAGTTCTGATGAATTTATTCACTCCAACCTATTTTACTCAGATGAAACTACTTGCATTAGTGCATAAAGATACATATATATGTATAAGCCCAGTCTAACAGATATACAATTTAAAAATATAAAATTTGTTCATTCAGAGATTACAGTAGTTTTGTCACTTTATACAACTAATTGCTTCTTACTATAGGCCAATTAAATGGCCTAAGGGTACTTTACAACCCTCATTAAATTAGAAGGATCAAAATCATTGTGATGCCTACCTTTAGTTATGTCTAAATCAAATAGACCACTATAAATTAAAACTAATTATTCCCCTACCACTATAAAAATCACATAATAACTAAGTTAGTAATAAAGTGAGCTAGGCCGTAA